ACTGATTACATTGCAGATTGGGTGAGGTCTCTAGGGGGACGTTGAGAAAATTGATTCAGGGTTTTTGCCCTTCAACTAACAACGTAACATTCACGAAATATCCCATGGATTTTCCATGTCTCTTAAGTAAGGAAGGAGGAAAAATGTCAACCGTATTGCTGTATACAGTTTTTATAGAACAGGGGGCAAACGGGCAAGAGGCTCTGATGTTAAGTTAAGTGATGCGAGAAGGCTCGCAAGTGCGTTGCCGAACTTTAAAACGTTGTATAGAAAGCATATTGTATTGTCGTGTCGTATTAATGTGTTGTAGAATTGTACGAATAAGAATCATTGCAAATTTTGGCTTGTATTTTAAAGGGATAAAGAATTGATTTTTAAACATATAAAAAAAGTTAAAACCCTACGCCTAAAGGTAAAATTCAAAGTAAGACTTAGCGCTATTTTTTTTTAATAGAACAGCCCCCTGTTCTTTAACAGGCACGAAGGTCATCTGATGTTAAATGATATCGCCGCTCATGGACACTCGATGCCAGAGGTCTCGCAAGTGCGTTGCCGGCCTTTTAAGAATTGGTACGCTCTTTTCTAGAAGGACTTACATAATAGGGTTATAGTTCGAGACTTGACTTGATCCTAAATAAAAAAGCAGCTAACGGTAAGCCTGGCTTCTGTTTCCTTGATGCCTTGATGCCTAGCGTAGTTTTAAAAATTTTGGGTCACAGACAACCCGGTTTTATCTCGGTTACATTCACCGTAGAGCCGGAGGTAATGTTAATTGAGCACGTAAAAAAATCCTGACGCACAAACATGAATTGAACGCCCGATCTAAGGGTCGAGTGTGGCACGCTTCAATTAAGATATAAAAAGAAGGAATAATAACATTTAGCCTGTCTAATAATGTAATAAATTCGCACTTATATATAAATAAGTTTTATTTAAATACCCCTGGTACATTCGCAATAACGACCTCCAAGGGAACCTTAATGTAGAGGACGTCGCCACAATAATAAAAAAGACCGCTGAAGCCCACGAACATACAGCTCTTTGACACCACGGGCCTAGTGAGAAGACTAGAATGGACTAAACCCTAGTGAATTAAAGTTAGTGCACGTTAGTCTTAAGTGCTAAACAATGGTCAGTGAAAAAAATGCAGTCAAAATCTGTTATAACGACATCGAAGGGCCACCTCATATTTGGTCATAAAAACCAATAGTCGTAACAGCCAATGACGTTGTAATGTACCTAATACAATATAATTCAGCCGGGACCTTTGATTTTGGTCAATATAACCGGTATGTTGCTCTAAACGATGTCGTCGTAAACGGTTTTGACTAATAACACAAGAACAGAGTGTCTTCCATTTATTAGATACCTGGATCCTTATTAGTAAATTAGGTTAGTTTTAAATTACTCATTAGTGTTAAGTCAAGATCGTAATTTTCCATGATGTCTTAGTAATAACACATGTATTAAAAAACAAATACTAATTCATAAAAGTACCAAACATTTAGTAGAGCCTCTTTTTCTAATAATATAAAACCTATTTTGAGAATCATCGCACGGTTCCAATTTACACGCCTGTCGCTATCATACATCATAAAAGTAATTTCCTTTAGTCTACTGTAAGTTTAAGGTACCGTCACTATAACACCGTAGAAATAAAAATATTATTTTATTACGGTTGTAAAATCTTTCGTCTATGTAATTTTCTGGTCTACTGATTTCAGTTCATTCCGATCTCATAGACGAAATTTTGTATCGTGATTTTATATGTAAGATTTTAGAATTTTTTATTACTTTAGATTCGCTTTAAAATAACAGAAAAATTGCTCTATTTACACTATTTTAATTTAAGCCTTAATATAATATAAAAATGTGTTTATTCATTATAAGTAAATATGCATTACAATGTCTAAGATTTGGGAATTTAAATAAAAAATACCTGTGTCAAGGTATCCATCTCAGCCCAGCTCTTCTGTAAGAAACTAAATATTTAATTATAGTTTTGTTGTTTTTAAACTGTTTACAACAAATTCTATAAATAGATATTCGCTAAAGTTATCTCTTTCCGACGTGTTGCTATACTTAAAAAAAAGTGATTACTACTTATAAAGACTGATTTAATATACTTAAACTGAACATACATTCCGTTTTGAACCGAACTAGGAATTACATTAACTCATTCATGGTCAAATGATTACAAAAACAAATTCGTTCGGCGTTAATGGGTCACGCCTGTCACAAAGAGATTTTGTCTATTGTCCCAGGTATTTTTGAGCGAAGCCCAATTCGCGTTCTTTACTGTAGAAAGACTAAAGCAATTACGAGCGTTATAGATATTAAATCCAGGCCTAATTCTACGTAAGTCCAAGCATTACAGTGGGTCTACTATGTACCTACTGAATGTCTTGAAGGGGTGTGCACACTGTAGGGTTTCTTTGTACCTATGGGATATGTACGACGGCGAAGGCCTAGCTTATTTGCGATACATAGAGCCAGAAGCAGTCTGTTACACAGATCCCCGTTATCAAAGACTGCGCCTACTGAATGCTGTCTGCGACACTATCGACATATTTAAATGTTCGCAGAGTGAATTCACAGTAGCGATATTGTGTATATTATGTGTATAATAATATATACTTTATCGTCTTGGCATAGTCTGTAAGGATAATGTATGTATTTCTGTAATAAATAAATAAATTTGTGCAGATACCTATATTATTAGTTTTTGAGAATGCGTGACTAACGGCTATGGTGTTACTTCCCTGATAATGCTTTTAAATAAAGATATTTTAAATAATACAATGCAATGTCACTGAATAAACAAACATTCAGAAAAACAAAGTTAATCTACTAATTTATACTCCAAAAGAATTTTGCAAGAACTTCCTCTATGCTGAACTAGATGGCGCGGAATTCAATGTAGATAAATTCTATTTAACGATTACCGCTTAATTGTTATATAAATTTTGAACATCACCTAAATTGGTTTTTGGCAACATTATTAACTCTAAATTAATGTAATCTATATATTTATTGATAACTATAAAAAACTTGTACGCTATCTTGACACGACAATGAAATGTAAATATAATATTATCGCCGCTACCAGTGACCAGTCTATCTGGTTTTCGGAGCGATGCGCGCGCGCCAAATATAATTTACGTATTCCGTGTATAAATTCAAAAGGTAAGTTTAAATTCTTTTGTATTTATGTTTAACATGAGCTTCAATAACTACGTATCGATATGTTTTTCTTATAAATATTTCTAATCTTTGTAGATGTATGAATAATTATGTAAATGAGGAAAACGGTTATTTAATTAATAATAATGAGTTAAGTGTTACATAGAAAACCTAAGTAAACCAGTGTTATATATACATATGAACTGCTACTGTGTATTTTATATACACACAGAAGAAGTTTATATATAGTGTTATACACTTATACTATAGTTAATAAAAAGGGGTTGTTTGTGGGGGAAAAAAGATGGTTGGTTTTCTCCTTTTTTTTTAACACGTTAGTGCCTATGGTAGTTAGTTAATTTTGTGGTTTTGTGATTGTGTCCAACACGAGACCTTAATCGGGAAACTCCGCCACTATGGCATCAAGAATACCGCACTGAATCTTCTGCACTTCTATTTACCGGAAGAACACGGAAGAACTCAGAGGGTTGAAGTGAATGGTAAGGGGCTCCTATAGTTGGCAAGTAATATGGGGACCACAGGGCTCATCTTGGCCCTTTCCCCCTTCTTGTTTATATAAATGATCTACTGATTGTCGAAACTATTTTCATCCTGCAGAAGAGGGCTATTCTTCGCGCAATCTATAATTTAACATGTAGGAATTGAGATAAATTCACAGGAAATTAATATACCTTACCTTTCCCCCGCCAATATATTTATGAAAATATTATGTATTAATATAACGTGACGTTAGTGCCTAATACGAGGAGAACCTTCCAGGCTGCAATTTCCCCGTACTAGACTATCTAAAGTTAGTAACTCTTTTGGGGAAAAGGGATACTCTTCTTTATTAAAATCCCCCCGGCTCTTTTTCCCCCCCCTCCCAAAAAAAGAAAGAGATATTACGTAAGTTTTGTACTTTACAAAGTAAATGATTATTTGTTGATAAAAGGGCCCGGGGCCCCCTTGTGCTAGACAGGCTACTTCTAATATAAAATCCCCCCCCAAAAAAGGGCCCCGGCCCCCCCCCCAACCCCCCCCTTAATTTGGATATTTGTTTTAAATAAGTGTTGTTTGATGATTTGCTGTTTTAAAAGGGTCCGAGAGTTTTTACGCCGGCTTTTTCTCTCGGCCACACCCTGTCTTCCTTTGCCGATGAGTAGGGATGCCTTCAAATTTAATGACGTGGAATAGGAACATGTATCTTATGTTCCATAATAAACATATTTTATTTTATTTTTTATTTTTAACTTTTTGTATTTTTTTTATTACGTAATTTTGTTTTTACAAATAAATGTTTGTTTTGTGTAAATTTTAATCATTTCTTACGCATTTTGGTCAATTTAGGGTGACTGTTAGAACAGTACTGTTTTTTATAAATATATAAATAAAAAAATAAAAAATAAAGCTTCTAAGAAAAAAAACACGGAAATGAAAGCAGTCTAGGTTACGTGTTTTCACATGACCAAGCATAAGACACTACTAAGTCAAAGTTTTTTCATCATTTTCATAATGATCTTAATAGGTGATCATTTGAAATGATCACCTATTAAGAGAGAGAGGTTCACCAACAAAATGTTTCATACATTTTATTTTAATAATCTATATTTTCATAATAAGCTTTATTAATGAACTTTCGTTATAAATATATATTGAATACGATAAGTATTACAATACTGACATATTAAAAATACATGTGACAGTTGAACATAAATTTATAATTAACTAAATAATAGATCTTTAATGTTTTGAAATAGTGTTAATGAATAGTTTCCTTTTCATCAGTAAACAAGTGATATCCGTTTACAAGAAGCAAAATGACAGGCATTACAATCCAACGCGTTGAAGAAGCAGATACAGAGGAGGTCATGAAATTATTGAGGAGGTAATAAACTATAGTACTATAATATAGCATATTTCGAGTAGTTACTCGTTCCAGTAAAGTTCAACGGAACTGATTTAATTTAATCTTTAAAAATAGATAACTTTCTTGACACGATAACTAATCTTTAAATGACTTCTCAATATCATTGTAAATGTGAGTGTCTATGGGCGGCGGTATCACTTATCCACTTACCATCAGATAAGACTCCTGCCCAATTGCCCCGATATATAAAAAACATATATAACATCAAATGCAATCATTATGATAAATTTAACACAATTATGCATCTGTTTCTTATAACTACATATGTAAATTTATAATATATGAAAGAAGGCCAATTCCGCAGTCATCTGGAAGAAAAGGCTAGACTGGCTTCCGAAAATCTGGGTGTTTTGGGTAGGGTTAATAAGCAGTATTTCACGTATGCAGCTCTACAAGGCTCAAGTACGACGTCATACGGAATACTGCTCATATCTCTGGGCCGGTGCTCCTAAATACCAGCTTCTTCCTTTTGGCCAAATTCTGCGAAGGGCTTGTCGAATTGTAAATCTCCAACGTATTAGTGCGTCTTTATGCGTATTGTACAAAGTTTACAATGGAGAGTGTTCTGAAGAGTTGTTTGAATTGATCCCTCGTGCCTCGTTTCAACGCCGTAAGAATTCAAAATTTCATCAGCATCACCTTGATGGCTCAACATCTTAACACAACCAACATCTTTCACGGTCCGCTTCACAATACATTTTCGTTTGAGAACTCTGGAATCGACGGTGGGTTTCTTCCCTGGGAGACCTCCAATTGTTTGAATAAAGAGTATACTCCTCCCTCAAAGACTGGCAACCCACCCACTAAAATTGGCGTCCCGTAGGCTAGTTTGCCCTCCAATCCTATAAAAAAATAGTGCGTGGAGTCCGTCACTAAAAGAAATTGATTTTAAAATTAAAAATTGTAATATTATCGAGAATAATTATTTTTTTATAATTTCAGAACGTTTTTCGTCCATGAGCCGTTGAACAATAAAGTTGGATATTGCAAATCAGAAAGTGACGAATGCATTGATCTTGATCTCTACTGTCGCCACTGTCTTCCCGGAATATCTTTTAAGGCTGTTGACATAGATGGAAACATCATTGGAGTTCTTATTAATGATGTTAGTTCAGTGAAAGATGTAAGTAATACCTTATTAATTGAATTACACAAGTAATTTCAAATAAAATACAATTGTCAATCTAATATATGCAAGTAGTCGATTAGCCTCCTGTGCTTGACACACGCCGTCGACTTTATGGGTCTAAGGCAAGCCGGTTTCCTCACGATATTTTCCTTCACCGTTCGAGCGAATGTTAAATGCGCACATAGACAGAAGGTCCATTGGTGCACATCCGGGGATCGGACCTACGACCTCAAGGAAAAGAATCTGCAACTAAGCCAACACTGCTCTAAAACGAAGTCAAGACCTGGCAATGAACTCTCCGGCACTCTTTTTATAATCGGTGTAATTCATTTAATGATACCCATCATTTACCGACACAGAGGTTAAAAATTTCCATGAAGTAATTATTAAGTAATATTCACAGCCATTGGACTTCGATATGATATTGAGCACGACAGTTAGTCCAGCTTTCAAGAAGATTATAAACATGTTAAAAATTCGTGAGAGCGGAGCAAAATTAAGTGAAAAGTACCCAAACGACGAGAACCTGTTAGAAATAAAGCTCGCGGCGACAGATGCGAATTGGAGAAATAAAGGTGTCATGAATGAGCTCATGCAAGAAACAGAGTAAGTTTTCGATTGAGGTTTAACTATAGAACTACTTTATCATTGATCGAAATAGTCCCTAATTATGATGTCCCCATAACTACGTTTAGTTGTAATCTGTGACTGTTAGAAAGCGCGCGAAGCGTCAAACGAAACAAAAGAACAAAATAATTATCTATTAGACAACGAAACAATTTTTTTTTCTAGTTTTTAATTCTAGAAAATCTAGAAAAATTCAAGCCAAGTGTAAGTTATTATTAACTGACGATTAAATATATATATAACACGACATAATTAATAAAATTTCTTGTAAACTCTTTATGGATTGACATTTAATTTATAGACCAGTGCCGATAATTTTTGAAACCAAAAAAAATTACAGTAGGATGAAACCCATTAGAAAAGCAGGGGAATATGATCAAAATGAAAGGAAAAATAAATTACGGTCGATCTGAGGTCGGGAAGGGGTGGGGGTTAGTTTTAAGGGTAAAAAACGGTTTATCTCGATTTCCGGCAAAACTAAAAGTCCTATCGAAGAAAGTGAAATGGCAAAGTTGTAGGTAATAAAAAGATCTAAAACTTTTGTATTCACACATTTTTCACATAACCTCAAAATTTATGTGAAAAATTCAAAAAACCAAGTTTTTGGATTTTAATTTTTATCTTTTACAAATTTCTTTTTTTTTTAACGAAATTTGGTGAAAACTTACCTTATTATGTCCCAAATATACTGTAATTTATTTGATTAAAAATATTTATTTTTTCACCTTATTTTGAATTAATATCGAAAAAACACCCTAATTTTCAATCGAAAATTCTGACGTCAAAATTTCAGCTTTTTTCAAAAAGTTGGTGTGTTTTCAGTTCGTTGAAATCTCTACTTTCCTATGGTAAAAAAATATATATATATTACCATAGTAAATCTTCTCAGAAAATGCAAAACATCGTATGCAGTAACGCCCAGACCCGTCATACCCTTCCCTACTTCTCTATGAATCTTCTTTAAATTATAATTAGATGCCTATTTATTACTATTTTAAGATAACTTATATATACCTGAGTGACCTAAAAAAAATGTTTAGCCTTTAGATGGGCTAAAATTTTCGTATTTCATAGTATCAAAATCCAAATCTGTATGATCAATGACCAAGTATTTCAAGGAATTCTCATGACGATCAATGATATAGCGAAATAGTTTCTTGTGAAGTAATAAGCAGATTTTTTTCCTTCGAGCAATGTTTCCTTATATATATCGGGATTTTCAAATTTAGTTATTTCCTGTTATGTCTGCTACGATTTTAATTGAATGCGAGTAAACTTCATTAAAATAATTTCATCTAATATTCTATATTCGAGTAACACAGATAATGTTGCGCTTAGAATTAATACTAAAATGGTACAACGCTTGTGTTAGCCTTTAATTTTGCATGTTTGCTTTTTCGAAAAGAAGTCCGTAATCTTTTTTAGAGTGAGCGACTTCTATTACTAAGTCTATTCGATAGTGGTGAGAGTTGCGAAGTAATCTTCATTCATGTCGGTTCCGAGAATGTAGAAGCGTAGGGAAGAAAGACATTTCCTTGCCTATGTACCTACACAAACGACAGTGCAGTCTGTGCATGATAAACACTTCAAATTATAGAGTGTAGGGAAGCCCAGACTTCAAATTATCCCACGTTGGCGAGCAAGATCAACTTCAACCCCAACACAAGTGTCTCTGACTACTAACGGGGGTTGTCTCAACTCATGTAAAAAAAAACTTCAAATTACCGAAGGGACCAACTAACAATGATTTTATTCAAGGGACCGGAGGAAAACCAAATTATCGAGTCCACTGTACTTGATTTTTATAAAAACTTAAACCAAAATTTAACCCGGACCCCCCCCCCCCCCCCCCCCCCCCCAAATTTTTTTTTTTTTTTAAAAAATAATTTTTTTTCTTTTTTTTTTTACTAAAAAAAATTTTTTTTTAAAAACTTTTTAAAAACAAAAAACCCCCCCCCCCCCCCCTATGTACGACAAATGTCGTTTGCGACATATAAAGAAATGTTGCGAAATTAATATTTTATAAGGACTACGTACAAGTAGTAATATTGCTTAATATTTAAAGTGCATCAAAATTTAAGAGGTAATTTTGTAATAAGCGAGTAACGAACTATATTTGTATGATAAGATTAATAAAATGATATTGTTTAAACTCATGTATACTTAAAATGTAAACCCAATTTACGAATTTTAATATGGTAGAGTATGAGCTTATTCGTATCGACATCCAGAACCTCTTAGTTTTACCCAGAAATTATCAATGAATTTGAAGCGAGCTACTCTGATAAATGTAAATATATACGACAGAGTGTTTATTAAAGAAATGTTTTAATATTTTATAAGTAGTACAAGTAGTAGGTATTGCTCAATATTTAAAGTGAATCAAAGATTATACTAATAAACAATGTATGCCTTAAATCTGCATATTGACGTAATAAGAAATAGCGGAAATATCACCAAATATTTTTACCTTTTTCTGCATTCCATTGGAAACGCGAATACAATTCGCATAGCAGTTTAAAAAAGACAATGACGCATTGCTAATAACACGTCAGCAGTCTCATATGCGTACTGCGTAGTAAATGTATAAAAATAAAATACACGACCTTAAAAGAATATAATTAACTCACAGTAACATAACAAACATGAAATGTCACTATCATTTGTTAAATGTCAATGATGGTCTGGCATAGTGAATTTTCGCGGGAAATTTCGCTTCACCATCTTTAGAAGTTGTAAAACTTAATTTATTATGCCTAAGGGTTTCTAAATAAATCACAACATATCATTTCATAAATTTATTTACTTAATTGTTAGAATATTTACAAAAATAAATTGAGGTAGTACCACAAAATCTTTATGTATTTTTCTACTTTAAGTTCGCTATTTTTATTTACATATTAGGTTACTATGCTGTGTAACAAGAACCTGTGAACATTAAGAAATTAAACATACCCTCAATTGCCAATTTATATTACAATAAGTTAAGTCAAATAATTACGACTATTTTTAATATATACTCGGAATCATAATAAATGTTTCTTGTTTCCAAGTAATTGTTAAACATATCTATACTCTTTAGGTTTTTTATTGTTAATTTACAATGTTACCATGTACAATGTTTAAATAAAATAATTAAATAAATATGCCCTAATAATATAAATAAATATGTATGAATACATTATATTCATAGATTTAAGGGGTGAATTTTTTTGACTCAAACATGGCAATTTTTAATAATTTTATTTGAATTTATCACAAAAAAAATGTTTCTTTTAAATATATAAATAATTTAATCTGTGATGTTAAGACAGCAACTAAAATACAGAATACAGTCTTGAACTTGAACAGTGGTTCGGTTACCTTACATTTAGAATATTTTAGTAATTTATTTTAATTTCATTTCTGTATGATTAAAATTATGTATTTTTAATCAAATTTTATATATATACAATATGATTGTTCACAGAATTCTAGTTACCAGTACTGTTAAGAAAATTATCCGAGGCATACAATAAAAAACTTCTTATTTTAGGATAAAATTCCTAACAATTTGTTCCTAATCAATTTTTATGATTTATTTTTCTCATTGGCCAGTGCTTGACCTAATGACGCAGTGGCCACTGTAGAGTTTGACGAACTTACGATTTTGTCTAACAACGCTTGTGTCTGCATCTGTAACAACCAATGTTTAGCATCAAGTCAAAAAAACAATTATCTCTTTCATTCTACGTTCTCACTTTTGAATTTATACATTTCCTCTTTATGAGCAAGTAGCCGTACTAGTTCCATTTTAAAATTATGTATGTACAGACAAAAGAAATATCATTATGAAAACTGAACATATGATATTCTATGTCTGTCTGTGGAGGCAAAAAGGCAGAACGCTCATCTCATGTTAATTGATACCGCCGCCCATGGACACTCGCAAGTGCGTTGCCGGCCTTTTAAGAATTGGTATGCTGTTTTCTTGAAGGGCTCTATGTCAATTAAGTTCTTAAGCTGGTTTCGGAAAAAACTGCCTTAAGAAACGCTCAGTTGTGGACGTCGAGGTGATACGGTTGGTATTTTGTATATGGCTTCGACGTCCGATGAGACTCAGCTGCAGGTATTAGTCCGAACAACTCCTCTGAACACTCTCCATGGTAAATGTGATAGAAGATGTAGAGAGATCCCACATCTTTACGCAACGCCAAGGGATCAAGCCACTCGGAAAGTGACCGGTTGTCGAATCGCTCTTCGTTGAATACGGTCAAGAGGAAGGAGCTGGTACTGGGGAGTGTCCGCCCACAGGTAAGAACAGTCCTCCGTGTGGGGCCGAATTTGCGCTTTATAAAGTTGCAAGCGGTGGCTCGGAGTGAAGTACCGTTTCGCATTGCTGAGCACACCAAGCTTCTTAGGCTAACTTAGCCTTTCCTTCCAAATGATCGAGAAACTGAACATCATTCGATATGACAACGCCCAAAATTCGGAAGCTAGCTGAGGCTTTAACGCCTTTAGTACACCTACGCAATCGCATGCGGCAGCGAAACGACGAAAAAACTGTAATTTGTATGGCAACGTTTGATAGTGTTTTGTCCCGCCTCTATCTTATAGCTAGATGAAATAGTTGCGTCCTTGTCGGTATTGTTTCGCAAGTAACTGCGAATGGCTGTTACACAGACGCAGCCGTTTCGCTAGCGGAGTTTCGCAGCCGCGAACGCAATGCGTCACCACGCGTTCTGTCACTGAGGACTAGAATTTCGCACAATGGAACCGAAAATATTGAATTATTATTAAATTTGATTCGAAATTATCCCGAATTATATTACTGGGCATGTTAATTACAAAAATGCATACAAAAAAATGCATGGAGGAAAATTCAAGAAAAGACGGGGATAGATGGTAAGAAATAAAGCTACAATGACATTTCCTTGCGAAAAAACTGCAGTGTACTAACGTTCCGCAGATATTTCGCTACCGCAATTATTTCGCAAAGACTCGCAGCCGCATACGAACGCGTAGGTGTACTAAAGGCGTAAGGAGAGCGTCTTTGATGTTATAGGTTTATCCTGGCACTTATAGCCATAAAGCTACTTGGCTGTATTAAAAGGCTAAAATTTCCAAACAAAATGTTAACTTATTACTAAAACTATGTATTTTATTAATAAATATTCTATATATTTGGTCTAAAATTATTTGAGGTATTTATAGTTGCAGTAAATACAAACATTACTAAACATCATTTCTTGGAAAATGTAGCCAAACTATTTACCTATTTATCGACATAGATGGTTTAACAAACCTGAATTTAATTGATGAAAAGTATCCAAAATTTATGGAATAAATGTGTTTTTAATAAAAATGTCAAGTAACTTACACTATTAGTTTTCCCTTTTGCATTTTCTCGTACTTTTTCTAATTCGTCCGCTAAAATCTTTGCCTTTTCTTGTGTCCTCTTTCGATGTACTAAATATGACTGTCTGAAATTAAAATAATTGAAATCTTTTTAATGTTTGAACTAAATATCATATTTAAAGAAAAAACTGTTTGAACGGATTGAAGTTATGTATCATTATAAATTTACAACTATTTAACATAATATTAAATTTATCCGACGTTTCGCGTGCTTTACAGCGTGCGTGGTCACGGTGACCATGTGTAAAGGTTATGTAAATCAAAGACAATACTATAAATATCATATGGTAAACAGAGACTAATAAGTGATTTAGTAAAAGTAGTTTTCCCACCCCAAAATATCGGTCTGTTCAAAAAAGATTTTCTTAAACTATTTGCGACTCTGTTTCTTATCCAAGTAATTTTTCTTTCTATCAAATTTAATCTGTGATGAAAACTCACACCTTTGTTTTCACATTAATTTACCTATTATAAATAAAGTTTAATGCAAAGATATAGATGAAGCAATAAGGTTTCATTTCAATATTGTACTACAGATGGCTTATTTGTTTCAAACTTCTTAAATATAATTGTAGTGGCTTGAGAATATGACTGAGATCATGCACAAGTGACACATGCTCATAAATACAGCAAACATTGTCAGGCACAAAAGGCTGATCACCGAGTCTATAAAAAGTAAAAAAGATAAAAAAAACAGATTCAATCAGAGGCCAAGACTTAAATAGGATGGATTATTATTTAGATTGAGGAAAGAAGATGGTGTTCCATAAACGAAGTACTATAAATAGCAGAACTCTCAGAAAATAGTTTATGAATTTTAGTCTGTTTGTTCCAAAACTCAATTATAAGAAATCAAGTGACATTTGAATTCAGTTTTGAATAGAAATTAGCCTGATCCAAGTTTAGGCTTCAGGTCATTGTTAAATTTATTATTTCAAAATAATGCTTTTGCCAATGTCAATACCAAATTTATATGCATATGCTACCAACACAAACAAAAATTTCAATTTTATTATTTAAAGAAGAAAAAAGCTAAAATTTTTAAACTCTATTAATTGTCTTCTATCAAATTAAAATGAAATTGAGGATTTTACCTTATTACAACAAGTTGTATTATAGTTCCAACCATAGCTACAGTGAAACATAGTATTGTTATGGCCAGATTTGAAAGTTTTTTTAAACCTTTCACTCCATAATATCCTGTTTTTTCATCATTTGCTTTACTGTTAGGCTGCTCATAATAGTTATATGCCGTATTCTTTCTCAAGCTGAAAATATTAAACAGGAATAAAATTAAGATAGTAATAAATATGCAATTGTCTTTTGGATTCCATAAGTGACGTTTTAAGTCGGAAAATAAAAAAGGTTTATTTGTTTCGGGCGTACCACTAAAACAAGATTTGTATGTCTACTTAAAATGCTTACTTTATATATATCATACTTCAAGAAACATAAACTTTTAATGTTTCAACAAGATCATTCTGTAGGTGAATTTTATAATTATTATGGCTAGTGATAAATAAATAGCATGTTAAGGTCACCTTTAGGATAATTCAATAGATTTTCTTAATGTTTATATTGTTTAAAATACTTACTTGTAAGGTGTATGTGTTCTATACACATATGAATGAGTCTTTACTTGGCTGTCCATTATATTGTCATATTGTGCCCTGCTGCTTGGTTTACCTAAAATGCTATATGCTTCAACAATCTTAACAAACTTTTCTTGAGCTTTAGCATCTTTATTCTTATCTGGATGATACTGAAAGGTAAATTTGTTGCCAATTTTAATTCTGCGTAAAAGGAATTAGATATTAGTGTATGCGAAAATAAAACTCCCCTAAAATGGAATCTCACCCAATGAGCAAAACCTATATATATATAATCTTTAAAGATTTTTATAAGACTCAGAAGTGACTAATAACTTACCTCTTTACTCATTTGTATAAATGCATTTTTAATTTCTTTGTCTGAACAATTTTTGCGTAAATTGAGAATGTCGTAGTGCGATTTTCGTATTTGACTGGAATAAAAATACCTCTTTATTTATATTTTTTTTTATTATTATTGTTTCTTTTATTTACTACTTTCTTACCTGGATAAACGTACAATTGTGCATATTGATTTAAAATCACAAGTACGTTTTAAGAAATACATAACGATTTTGTAAAATAAAAAGGTCTAAACCATTTTTGTTGACTGTTGTTATTTTGGCAATTGCCATTTCTTTTTTTCTATAGCTTTACAGCTGTTGATTTATAACTGTCTAAAAAACTGTCAATAATCAATATGAGGATGTATATTGTCAAACTGAAAATTTAATGACAGTGTTAAGTTAACTCACAGATAAAATAAATACATAGTACAGTCTATCGAATGTTTCCATGACTATAGGTCTACCAGAATCTGATGGCAAAAAAAAAGTTTAAAAATTAGCGATTTTCATATGGCAATAAAAGAAAAATTTCATCTGTCAACTGAAATTTTGAGGAATTGTTTTTGGTTTGGCTTCAAATTTCCTTTAAAAAGTGATGAAAATGTCGAAGAAACCTCTTCAATCGCAAGCAAGACAAATTGTTTTCAATGTTTATCAAAGAATACTTGGTCAACAAGATGCAGAACATACACAATCATCGATATTGAGCCATGTGCAAGCGTTGACTGATTAGTAGGAGTGACACGTCTTGATACTTTGGTTTATGGGATTTTTCGTGTGTATTATATTATGTACTTATACTAAACTTTGGTTTATTTCAGGGGTTTCTTATACTACAAATAAACTTGGATAGTTTTGATTTAGAATTGATCAGAAACAAGATAAATGAGTTTTACACTGTTTCTTTCTCTCAAATAGGGATCGATGAATGGCTAAAATCTTGTGAACAAGATCGGTTAATTGAGATGCAGGAGGAAAGGTTTATCATAAATACTGCGTTGAAGACGTTTTTATGGATGTGCAGTATTTGGAACCATTTTCAAGTTCTTAATTAATTAATAAACTCATGAACAGAGTAATTTGAGTTTTCATCTAAATTTCAAACCCCACTTTCGCCACATTTTCAAAAATTATCCTTGTTCATTGGATAAATTTTTATAATTACATGTATCACACACAGAATCAGCCGCTATAAGGAAAAAAAAAGTATCAAAACGTTTTACTCCAATTTCCCCAGTATTGCTAGCGTAAATTTCTTTTTTCCCTTTTTGCCATCAGATCCTGGTAGACCTATACTATTTCATACAAGTCTATTTCTATTTAAAATTCTTATTATTAAACATATCAAATCAAATCATCAAATCAAAATACGTTTATTCAATTTAGGTAGATGCTTCTTAGAGCATGTTTATGAATGTCAACAACGTTTACAAAATTCACGAAAGAGCAAGACTACGCCATCCGTTCGCAAAACTACCAGGAGGCCTTGTTCTGAGAAGAACGGGCAAGAAACTCAGCAAGTTTTGCCCTCCATTTACATTACAATTATTCAAAGGAAAATGTCATAAACCACAACGTCATTAAAGTTACATAAGTAAAAAAAATAAAAATCTGTTCTGTGATTTACCACATTCACCATTACACACATATTCATAACACTTCAAAGATAACCAATCAAATTATAAGAATATAATTAGAACAATTGCCAAGCCTTTTTATCTTCCAGGTAGTCATTGACTGTGTATTTAGTAACCTTTACACATTAAGGTTTTTTTGATATGTGTTTTGAATCTGTTTAAAGATCGATACGTACTTAATAATTAATATAATACAATATGCAATACAAAATATGTAGCGTCAGTGCAGAAATATCCAAAGCACAGTTCGAAGAGAAACGTAATTTCAAAAATATTTATAACTTGTGTTAGATTATAATGTCATTATTCAGTTGCATTCATATAAATAATTATTAGTTAGTTAGTTAGCTGGTGATTAATGTGATCAAAGTGAAATGCGCAATTCAATGGTAAGTGAGCAGTACAGAAAACGTCTATCGAGTTTGAAAATGACATTGCTCAATTGATAGAATAATAAAGTACTTTATTTTCTTTAATGTTACTTAGGATCAATCTCTACACAAAGTTTTTTTTTTTTTTTTTTTTATAAGTTTCTCTTTTCAACTTACAGTAAAGCCGTTATAGATAAACAATATTATATAAAAAAATGAAACAAATAAGCGCATCAATAGAAAAAAATTTTTCAAAAAATCTTGTGAATTTAATATTTAAAACAAAAAATAATACCAAATACAACCTAAAAAAATTCAAAATGAGTCTTCCCGCCCCTTCAAATATTTTCTCACATGTTCCTTGGTGAGGTGGAAAATATCAAATTCCTCTATAATTAGTGTCATAGTTAGATAAAACCCGAAACAGTGGTGAATTATGCAGGATTCGAGTTCGTACGAGGCACATGGAACAATTTTGATGTCTTGGCATTCTAAAAGAATTAACACAATAAACTAGGACAAGCAGGTCTTCTGACTACGCCGACTTTCTAATGAGTCTAAATTAAAATAAGAGAATGACCATAACTATCGAAGCATTGGTATTTTTAAAAATGAATTTTACAAATTTTTGTATATTTTCTATTGCTTTTTTATATTTTGTATAATATGGAGACCACATAACACTCGCATACTCCAGCACGCTTCTAACATAAGCAAAATATAAGCTTTTAATGCAATGTATGTTATTAAATGTCTTGCATGACCGCTTGACAAATCCTAGTTGCATATACGCTTTGCCTGTTATGTCATCGATATGTTGTGATAGGCCCATTTTTTCATCTAACAGTAATCCCAGGTCTTTACTAATAACGTCTATTGGGGTGTTATCGATTTTGTAAGTGTTTAATTTTTTGTTTTTACGAAAAAATTATCTTATTACATTTGTTTATGATTTATTGAAAGTTTATTTTGTTTGTAGTACATTGCTAACTATTAAGATCTTGTAGAATTTAATAACAGTTATCTATTGATTTTATTCTTGTAAATTGTCATCCGCGATAAGATGTTTAGAAAAGGAAAACAATATTTTATATCAATAATAATGGGCTTACACAAAGATATTATTTGGTCGCTATTCCTTCGATAACTATTTTTTTTATTTATAACATCTTTTTAAACGGCTATGACTTACGTCATACATACTATTATGTTTCTAACATCATACACAAGCGATTTGTGTCAAAAAACGGGATCATTAAATGATAACAATATAAGTAACATTTAAGGCAGGCAAGTTGACATGAAATATGAAGAAAAAAAACCAGTTATACGCAGAGGTTTAACAACTTTTAAATTTATAAAAGTGGGTAGGTAATTAAAATATAAAATAGGTCAAAATAGGAATCTAGAACGAATAATGTCAACTCCATAGTCGACTGCGTTATAGGTATAGTCTAAAAGGTAAAAGCTATAATGATTTTTTTTTTAATTTAAAAATTTAATTTTACATTATAATAATAATTTTTATTAATCAGACAAATACAGTGCCCCCTTTTTAGCTCTATGGTTGTAAAAATAGTTGAATACATTCAGCCCTCACATTTCTCTGATAGAATTGGATTGATTGATTAGATCTGAATTGGATAAGCAAATTTAATGGATATTATATTAAAAATTATAAAAACTTAAGGCTTATTATTTTTTTTAAATTAATTTTATAGGAATACAGCACTCCATGTAAACGAGCAGCTAGGCGCTGCGAAACAACCGCTGAGTGCCGACAGCTGACTCAGCGCTGACCGCTAACTTGTTTAAATAAATTCAGTATTCGCGCGGTAAACTGCGCGGGTGGACGTACGTTTGTCGGTCATGCGAGAGTCGGCTAGCAGGATGGCCGAACTCGAATTCGAGGCGCCGCTTGCCCAAATCGAAGACGCAGATGATTGTCTTTCTACTGCCGATTTTCCGCAGAAGACCATCAACGGCAATGACATACGGCTAAACAATATTAAGAATCTCAAAAGTGGAATTGTCAAAATGAAAACTGACTCCAACAAAATAAACGATAATGACGAACCCAAACCGGTGAAGTGTAAACAGGATACTCTGCAAAACGGCGAAGGAGATAATTTCACTGAGACTTTCTCTGGCTCTCTGGAAGATTTAGTTAACACCTTTGACGAGAAAATAACAAAATGCTTCGGAAATTATGAGGAGAGTGTGGAAAAACTGGCGCCGGTGCAGGTTCGCTCGCAGGAGGAAATTATGAACGAGTGCCAGTGAGTATTGATTAATTATCACCCGTGATATCATCATTTAGTCATATTTGTAAACAAACTAAATATTTTTTTCACAAATATATTGAATAGCGTGAAAATATTATAAACATAGGGCGGTTTCTGCGCATGGCTTTCATAGTTGTAGAATCGATCGACGTAGGGGTGCCCACCCCTGGGCGTTGGGTCAGGGGTGGCATGACGCATCGTCCCACCCTGCTTTGTTCCCATTCCGAGTTCATCGAAATGTCGCACTCGACCAGACGCCAACGACTGATTTCAGAAACCCAATTACCTACATTTAGCACACAGTTATCAGTACGTGCGCGAAATTAATTGCAAAAACTAACTATTTTTATAAGGAAATGCTAATTATACTCAAAACAAATTAGTACTGTTCAGCTATATACAAAATAATACTAGTTGTAGTAAATTAAGCCAGAATTTGGTTTCAATACCCTTGTGTTGCCAATGTTAAGCGTTTTTATTTTATTTCCTTGAAGCTAAAAGCCAAGCAATATATATATTTGGGCTTATAAAACATTCTCTGAGGTTTAAAAAGAGACTTAGGTACGTTGATAAAAACCAATTTACTCAATAAAATATGTACTTATCTAACTTATTAGGTGGGCTGAAAAGTTTGTAGGCATAGAAAACAATTTTTTTTTTATAGAATTTGATTTGATTATTCTATATAATTGCCGTCGAGAGCGATACAACGATTATAGCGGTCATACAATTTTACGATACCATTTTTATAGTACGATTTGTCTTTAGCCTCAAATAGGCTTCAGTTTCGGCGATTACCTCTATCAGCGCAAAATTTCTGTCCAGCGAGCATTCTCTTGAGGTAAATGGTTAGGTTAGTTACCAACATATAATTACGATTTATATGTTGGTACAAGTGCCGGTTAGAATTAATACTAAAGCAGATGCTAGCAATTTTCTATTATAGAGACAAATACATAATCGACTATTGAAACATTAGACTGTAAAACTATCTATGGAACCACAGATAGAAAACTATGTAAAGAACACTAGAACATTTCTCGTAGACTTTCCAAAGAGTTTCGTTTGTAACAACTGAGAGAGCTCAAACACAATTGTCTCACGGTACTATCGTCTAGTCTCTCCATTGTTTTATGAAGATAAAGTAAAAAAGAAATTCTTTTTTGCTCTCCAACTTGTAAACCTGGAAAATAATGGTTATACTGCATACTGAATTTTTTTATTCATTCCGCTGTTTTAATTTAATCACAAAAAAGCAGATTCACACCTAGAAAGTAAAAGAAGTTTTCAATATTTTGCAGCAGTGAAATAGTAAACAAAAGTTTATTCAGCTGTGTCAAATGTAACTTTGGAAGCTGTCCAGGCGACCTACATGCCACGAAGTCGGGAACCGATAAATCGAATTTGCGAACGTCAAGGACCTTTCCTTCACACCTTTTAAATGTAATTAACCTAAATCGACGTTTTTGCGTGCAAAGAAACGTGGCATTTGGTTTATTTTTTAACTTAGTATACCATCTTCATGGTTACAAATTATAATTCTTTATAAAAGTTCTTTGTAAAAAAAAACATTTTCTAAAGTCATTTTTAATCATTTATTTTCGCCTTAGTTCGAAACTGAATTTAATGGAATTTTGACCTACCATTACCTTTATTTGTTTGCACTACATTTACAATAACTTTTTTTTTGAAATATAAAACGTATGACCTGACTTGTTTTTAAAGTACACATCTACTGACAACTCCGTCAATATAATAAAAAATTTGATAAACTTTCGTTCCATTTGCCCTATCAGTATTTTTTACGCTGTAATTTTGTGTAGGTTATGTAGGTCGGTTTTATTCGCTATTTCAAGCACAGTATCCGACCCTAATTGGCCTATAACCTTTAATGTTGTTATATAAAGCAACGACAAAGATTTATAAAGGATTTATGTAAACAGGAGCCACTTAACCTGCATTAACGCTTTGGAATCTCGTAAATTGTAATGACGTGTTTATATCTTTGTGTTAAGGTCAATTTTACAATGCAGTAAATGTTGATATTCATCTTCGCATATAAATAAAATTTCACGGTTAATTTGTAAAACAGTTTTAATTTATATTTTACACTTGGTTCTTAGTGGTTTTATATCTGTTGCTACATTCCTTTACCTTTATCATGTAAAATGGGCAATATTATTTAAATTGATAACGTAACCCAAGGTATAAATTTTGTATATATACAGTTTTTATTCAGTGATATAGTACATAGATACAATACATAAAATTTTCATAAATTCGTAATAAAGTTTTTAAATTAAGAACATCAACCGATGCAAACAGCAGGTGTACAGATTCGTCTGTGATTCGTGAAACACATGTTACGGCAGATGCCCCTTGGGGCACCTTGTGCACCTTGCCGAATATCAAATCACCCGCATCATGTCATGATTAATAGCATTTTGCATGGATCCATATGCATCCGGTGTAAGTAATATGTTGCATACCAAAGTGCAATACTAAAGGGAGTCGTTTGGAATTATTTAAAATATGTATTACAAAAAGGATTTTTTCCCCTTCTATAAAGGGAGTGTACAGACATTAAAATATTACATATTCATGACGAAATAAATTCCTAAATTTGTTCATTATAAATTTATGCTATTTTAATAATAGACGCTTCGAATTTTGAAAAGTCAAAAGTCTTTACATGTTTAAAATTAGATTTGACAACTGTAAGTTTTAGTTGTGTAAGTTCTACAACTGAGCGTTCTTAAGGCAGTTTTTGCCGCGCACCACCACTATGTGGAACCAGCTGCCCACTTAGGGTCCTTCAAGAAAAGAGCGTACCAAGTCTTATGGTGGCTGTACACACTCGGCGAGAGCCTCTCGCCGAGAGTCTCGACCGAGAGGACCGAGAGAAGAGCGCAGCCTGTACACACTCGTTACGTTATTTGTATTTAAAACACCGTTAATAATGGACGTGGAAACCGCTGCTGCTGTTTGTCTTTGGGCAATAAGTTATTATAATTTTCTTCACGTTTACCATTAAAAAAAAATTACGAAGCCATGGCGAAGAAGAAGATGGTGGATGGTTACTATGCACCGCAACAGAAATTGGTAATTAGGTTCATAAAGTTTTAATATTATCCAAAATTGTAAATTGCTACTTGTATGTATGTTTTACCTTTTGTATGTCATTCATTTATTTTGTACTTTATTTCAGCAGCACCATGGAAAATCAATTGGCAGAGCTAGTGGCAGAACCCTCTGGCCAATTTGATAATTTTACAAGAATGTCTTTAGTCGACTTTCAATTTTTACTGCAAAAAGTTGCTCCGTTGATAACTAAGAAGAATACTCTTATGAGAGAAGCAATACCAGCCAAAATTCGCGTTCGTTAGACCACATTGTGCGATACGTCCTGTCACAACCACAGTCATCGAGCAAGTGATTGAACGAGTGTGTACAGGTCGCTCTCGTTTTACTCGCGAGACCCTTTGACTCGTGCGCAAAAAACCGACAGGCGACCGAGAGAGGCGAGACCGACTGCGAGGAAGCGAGGCGAGACGAGAGCTCTACTGTACACTCTCGCCCTCGGCCTGTCTCGGGGTGTCTCGCCGAGTGTGTACAGCTACCATTAAAAGTCCGGCATCGCACTTGCGAGCCTTCTGGCAATGTGAGTGTCCATGGGCGGCAGTATCACCTAACATCAGGTGAGCCTCCTGCCAGTTTGCCTCCTAAAATAATACAGATTACCTCTCTCATCTTAAAATACAGCGTATAATATGGAAACATGCATGATAGCATGATTAACTTTCTATCATGGGTTTGTTTACAAGTTAGCACTGAATCGGTAATCACCTCTGACCCAAAACGAACTGATAACTTTCAAGACTATACTTAGTCCTCGATAGTAAGTTTATTTATTTGTTGAGGTATCCAAAAAAGAACCAGTGGTGCTACAACCTCATTGCTCTAGGGCCTAATTATGTATCTGTGTCGTGATCATTTGTTTTTTCTGTCACACGCCGTAGTGTCAAAGGCATGCTGGTTTTCTCTCGATGCTTTCCTTCACTGCGAGCGAGTGTTAAACGCAACCATAGACAATTGTCCATAGGTGCATAGTCGTGGATCGAACATGCGAGATTAGGGATGAGAGTTGCAAGCAGAAGCCAACGCTAGGAAAACACTGCTCTTTAGGTATAAAGTAGCCAACAACTTCCTATCTAACCTAATTTACTAAAAAGAATATTTACGCTAAGAAAGCGTTCACTACTTACAGTCTATTAAGGGGATGACAGTCTGTTCTTGTGTACTATTTTTTTCCACTTACCACTGTTTAGCTTAAGAGTAACGCGCTTAAGAATAAAAAAATATCCTGAACGGATTACCCTAGTAAAATATAAAGTTAGTGTGTGCATATGTGTATATTTGAGTGTATGGGATTATGTTAAGTTCTTAATGAACGGCTCATTGGTCTAGTGGTTAGTACCCCTGACTGCGAATCCATGGGTCCCTGGTTCGATTCCCGGCTGAGACAAACATCGATGTGATGAGCATTTGGTGCTGTGCTTAGGTCTTGGGTGTTTAAATATGTATTTATATGTCTATCTATCTATAATATGTATGTATATCCGATGCCTAGTACCCATAACACAAGCTTCATCAGCTTAGCATGGGACTAGGTCAATTGGTGTGAATTGTCCAATAAATAAATAAAAAATATAAAAAAATGAGTCGATAAAAGAGATAGATCAAGATGTAAGGCTTTATTTATATTAAAGAAATACAATACTTTTCTGTAAGACATTTTTTTTTAATCAACTTAATATTTTTTCTTATAACAAGTTTGTTACCAATCTTGTATGCCAGTATATACATAATTATTATTTTACTTAGATATTTACCAAATTGTTGAGTTACGATGTCCCAAAACAATTCATAAATGAGCTCATATCGTGTTTCTGTTTAGTATTCATTATGGTTGCATTATCAAGACATGAGCGTGGCACA